GTTTTTTATTCCCAAAAAACTAAAAAGTGTTCGTGACAGATGCAAAATGAAAAACGGACGGTTTTTTATCTAAAATAAAAACACTTTTCAGTTTTTTGTAGACTCTAAAAAGCTAGTTGAAAAACTGAAGAGCTTTTTAGCTGGTATTTTAGACTCGAAAAAAAACTGAAAAGTGTTTTTATTTTAGATAAAAAACCGTCCGTTTTTCATTTTGCATCTGTCACGAACACTTTTTAGTTTTTTGGGAATAAAAAACGGAAAAGTGTTTTTTAAAAGGTTTATTGGTCTCAATAAACCCTTTTTGATAGTTTATTAATCTACGACTATTTTTTAGAGTATATAGGATGTTACGTACTGCATGCCGAAATCGTACGTCCTCGATCTCTTTCCGTAAAAAAGTTAATAAAAAACCGATATTTAATGTTAGAATGGATAGTAGGATGCATACCATTCAATCGAGCAATTATAATAAAAAAGTGTTGTTGTTGTTTAATATAATACACAAGAGTATCAATACAAATGCATCCACATATTAATATATACAACGTCCAAAATATTAATAGACCAATATTATTTCGAATCCATGAGCGCAATGTCGATGAATGTTTATGTGGACGACCGAGAACTGCCGGTTTTGGACGAATCCAACTGCTTGTACTATAACAAACAATAAAATCATTTATTTATCATGTAATTGTACATTAGCACGTCAAATTTACTTGAGTGATAGAACTTTGAACAAATGCTGATTTCGTTGAAATGCTGCAGATAATTCTTCTAAATTGATATCACCCGATTGATCCACATCAGTTTCTTTGAATAATGTTGCCGTTAACTCAGCAACAGTTTCATTTAAATCTAACGATGGTGATTGTTCAAGAAAACATTGCAATAGCAGTTTCATTTCATCAAAATCAATTGTACCATCACCTATAATTTTATGAAAAATTAGGGTTGTACAATATTATCAAAATATTAGTCAATGTAAATACCATCACGATCAAATATTTTGAATAAAAATTCGACTTTTTGAGCATCACTGGCATCAACAATATATTCTAAATTTTTGATAAATTTATCAAGTGTTAATAAACCAGTTTTATCTGTGTCCAAATAATTAAATAAACAATCGGCTAATTCAGGCTAAAACATGAAAGGAACAAGATGGAAAAACAATTAAACTGTTTAAGTTTACTCCGATTACTTTTATTTCAAAGAAAAGTTCAGTTAATTCAAGATATATACAACTTTGCAATGAGACTGTTCCTGCTATTGCTTCTTTTTCAACAACGATGAATATAGAGAAATATATCCTAATAAATCTTTTTGTAGTCAAGATCATGAGTGAATTCAGTCTTAGGTAAAAATTTTCTTTTACATTTTCCCTTCGTAGTAACGATCAGAGATCCGCACGAGCCGAGAATTTTTGGCCCGACTCGATGATGACAGTTTCCGGATCAAGCCCGACTCGGCCCAACTAAACATGGAATTTATTTGGCCCAGCCCAGCCACTTTTTAAAATTTTCTGGTCCCACGCGTGATTTTTTTCTTGCATCTGTAATACTTTTGCTGACTAAGTGGTGTAAATGTATTTGTCAAGCTAATATTCATATATTTATGATTTCTTGGTTTTCATTTTTCAACCTTTAAAGGCACTAGCTAAACGAAGTCATTAAGATGTCGATGATAATACTCTTTCTCGGTACTGAGTACACACATAAATTACAAATCCACGCATGCTTATAATTTTGAGTTCGGCCTGACCCGACCCAACCAAAATACTTTGCGACCCGATCACTCTATTAAATTTTCTGACCCGATCTGGTTCGACCAAAAGCCCGGCCCGTGCTAACATCGTAACGATGTGAGAGCCATTACTACCAGAAATACAATCGTATGTAATCATAGGCTCCTACAGAGTGAGCTTTAAAAATTCGAAGTACCTCCCTGTTACGTGAAAAAAGATGAGCATTGAAATACTGTAAGATATCACATGTTCGATGTTTATCGACTATATCGTTTCTACAAAGTGATAAAAGGACAAGTACCTCTTGGAGATTTATTACCGCAACAGACGCCTGTAAGTTATCCATTGCGCAGCCCAGCACGAGGGCTGTTACCGCCTCATCATGGTGGTCTGCTTGTACTCAGGAATAGTTTTATACCATCTACCATTCAATTATGAAACAACTTATCAATCGATGTAAAAAGTTCGAAAAACTCAGCAACGTTTAAATTTAAAATGAAACAACCTTTTTTACAGATATTGAATCTTTGAAAATAGACTTTTCACGCTTTCGATTGGGTTTCACACAATTGAATGAGGATTTGGCTAAAACACATATAGTGACTGCCCCCGAGTGCGAATATAAAAGAGAATCATCGTCTCACTTTTTCTTTTTTTGTGCAAAGTATATAGAACAACGTTCAGAACTATTAGAAACGTGTCAGTCTATACTTCAAATAACCGACGTAACAATGGATCATTTACTTTTTAAAAGCAAAGGCATGCTCTCTCTCGAAAAAGATAAAATTAAAATCCTATATCTTTCTGTTTTAAAATTTTTGAAGGATGCAGGACGTTTTCATCGGATCCAATGATGTGCGACCTTTTTTTCCCGCCAAAGTAGAACTGTACTCCCCAGCAGATTCCTGAAGACTCCTGAAGCAAGAGAAAAAGCGTTTCCTTTTTGATAAGATAACTCCTTTTCAAACTTTACAACACTTCTGATTATTTATTTCTCTTCTCTCTTTTTCTTTTTTACGTATTGTTCTTTTTTTTCTTGTTGTTATTATTGTCACATCTGTTCAATTTCAACCAACATGTAATGAGCCAGCTCGATTTGTTGGAAAATAAAAAAGTTTAAATTTTAAATACCTATTCGATTTTTCAGATGAAATCCTAAAACTTTTCAGAATGCAAAAAAACTTCTTTTTTAGTCGTATTGCGAAACTTATTTATAAAAAAGAGAAAGTGTTCACATCAGTCTATTTTCTACTTTGTGGGTATTTTAGTTCATTTCTTAAGATAAAACATCCCTATATAATATTTTGCTACTTAGTCATAGACGATAAAAGTATTCCTCACACATCACAGACGACACACGAGTAGACATGTGTATACATATATATAAATAACAAAAATCACTATATCAATAGATAACTCGACAGCACAGATTCAGCAATAAAAAATAAAGCGAACAAAGAAGAATCGAGTTTGTTGAAACAAAAAAGAAACTACTTAATGCAAAAACAATTCTATCTGAAGGAAATACTCAATTAAAAATAGCAATCAAATAAAATAAAATAATTGATATGACAGTCGCTCATTCCATTATCGAAACGAGTAAAAAACAGATAACAGATGTATCAACTGAACTAAAACTAGTAAAGAAGTCACTGCAGAAAGAACAAAAACGAGAAGAATCGCTTATTGTCGGTAAAAAGTCAAAAAGAGATTTATTTATTAATTTATTTAATTCACGATTAATCGACAATTAATCGTGCATTTAAACGCGATTTTTAGAAAAATCAACGGTTACTTTAGATTTCGGCAAAAATCATCGATCAATTGTATAACTTATTCTATTTTGATTATTCTTTTTTCTGGAAAGTACACGTCGTAGAAAAGAAAGAGAAAACAAACGATATCGAAGAGATGCACGTGCATAAGTTTACATTTCCTCATTTTCTCTTATTTTATTTTATTTTATTTACACTTGTACAACAACAATGAAAAGTTAGTACGATACAAGTACAAAAAGGTCAAACGAAAAAATAAAAAGTAAAGGAAGTGTATAGGTTCATTTAGGTTGAAAATTTTGTTTTCATATATTTTTTTTAAATAAATAAAAACATTGGAAATGAAGAATAAAAATGTTTTAAACCTCTGTTTATGTTATGCTTTTCCTATTAATTATATTATACTGTTAATATTCAATATGTAAATTGATTGATTATTAATATCAAGTTTCTGTGTGAATTAGCTCAAACTGCAGCGATTCAGATATTCTGACGTTTTTTTTGTTCTGCTAATCAAGTCTGCTATCTAACTGAAAACCTGATTTAGTGCAAAATATTAACAAAGCAGACAGCTTTAAGGTTGACTTTCTGATTAAAAAAGAAATATACTAACGTTATCCTGCATGAAGAAGCAAAAAGATTTTTCAAATATTTAATTTTTATATTACAAATGTCCGACTCCTTTATGAAATGTATTTTTGCTATATCTCTGGAAATATCTAGTCATCATTTCTAGTCATTTTAACAATGTTTTCTTCATGTAATACATATGCTTTTAGTAAAAATGTTTCTATCTTATTCTGGATTAAAATGTTTCGTTACTAAAAATCAGCAATATTTATATGTGTGTCCTACAAGTTTATGGTTTAGATTAAAAAAGAACTAATCCATTCTTGCCTCATAGTTCTGCGTAAAACAAACTTAAATCGATACTTCAATCATTCGACATCAGTTTCAGTGGACCGACAATGGTGTATAATAATCAGTTTTTCGTATCTATCATAGATCGTAACAGGCTAGAAGATTTCATTGTTTATTGCTGGAGAATCACGCGATAAGAAACGTTTTTTAAATCATTACTCAAGCTAGTAGAATTAACTGAGATAAGAATAGAAAAGTAGGTTGATTTAAATTTTTTTATCATCTCAAAACCAATTTAAGGCAGCACTTTTTTCTTTCCAACAAGTCAAAAAGCAAGGTCTTTCAAAAGTTTACCTACCACTTTGAAATAGAAACTATCTTTGAATGTTTCCAAATTCATGCTCTCGGCAGCCTTTCCATCATGTTTGACTATGGCTGTATGAAATTGATATGCCAACCATGATAACCATTTTGTATCGTTCTTGAGACTAAAAAAGATCAAAATATGATTCTTCATTTTCATACTAGAAGTACATACTTTGCAATTGATCGCAAAACATCCATAAATTCCATTACTGTTAGTTTTCCATGTTCACTCAGTAATAGTAGTGCAAATTCTCGTTGAAACTAAACAAAAAATTAACATTTTGAAAAATCGATATTCTAAAAGTATTTTTTCTACTTACAGCATAATCATCAAATAATCGACAAAAATCAAGAAGAGATAATGAATCGTTGTCTTTAGCAATATGTTTAAATCGATTAATAAATGCTTCTAATGTGCGAACAACTTTTGTTCGTCCAGATGTTCTAAAATAGAGTATTATTGCTAATCCTATAATTGAAAATTTGTTTGTTTATTTGTTTGATTAACTAAACTTACTCAGCCACTTTATAAACTGAACCAATCCATTCAGATTCTGATAATAATCCACTGTCATCACGATCAAACATACGAAATAATGTTTCGAGTAAAGGCTAGAACATAAACAAACAAACAGATCATATTTCATTTCACAGTGTTCAATCCAAAAAAATGAAAGAGACATAGGTAAGGTAAAATTTCACACTCAAACACAACATTCGATCTTTCCTCGTTTTCTATAGTTTATTTAAATTAAACATAAGAAGTTATGAAGAAACAAAAGATCTATTGTCTCTAAATTTATCAACAATGAACTTCAGATGGATTTGATATGAACAACGAAAGGGATAACATATTTTTAAGAGCTTGGATGATGGATGATTATAGAAAAAATCCAATATATTTAACTTAAAACCTTGTTTTGATAACGAAAGTTATAAAATTTTTATATTTCTTCCAAAATAAAGGTTCTTAACTACTTTTTAAGAAAGATCTATCATTATTGCTAAATATAGAAGAACTCTTTGAAAAACTTAGTCTCTGAGTCAGTTGCTGAATCCGACCGAAGTGTGAACCGTTCATCCCAAAGGAAATTAAGTATCTGTGTCTTGATCTGATGGTGTGTGTTAAGACTAATGGTACAACTGTCATCTTTGTATTTTTAGTAAATAAAAATGTATTGTAACAAAGACTGAAGGAGATTTTCAGCTCCACTATCAACTTACCCTTTGTTTTAAAAATTGTATTAATTCATTAAATGTTACGTCTGTAAGTCCATTTAAAGCCCGACTCCAACGATCAAGTAACTGGTCTTTTGTTGGCATGATTATTGTTAGTGCCGTTCGTCAACTCAATGGGTCAATTTGATGTATGACTGGCAAGGTCATGCGAATATAGAAGATCTGATCGATTCGTCGATGTCAAATTATGCTGATATGTACATTTCTCTTCTCTTCATTCTTTTTTTTCTTTTTTATCTCAAACAAAACTCGTTTGTCACACGTGGCTATAAATCACGTATTAGACTTATGTATATAGTATGGTATAACAAAATAAAACAATACATTGAGAATTATCCTGAACTATGTTGATAAGTTTCTGAAAAAGTGAAATCAGAGAGTTTAAAAATTTTTCAGAAAGGATTTTGTGTCGAAAAAAGAGGATGCGTCAAAAACGGCAAGGTTCAACTTTTAAATCCATTTTGATTTTGCATGACTTTCTGATCGGTTTTGTCGTATGAATATAAGTAGTTTTTTAAGTAAAATACTTTTTTACAACGAAACAAACTTTTTCGGAAATTTTTTTTTGTTAAAAGCCATTTATGGAAGAGCCAAGGGCAAAACATTTTTCGCAGAATACTGTTGTTTCATACATGTTTCAATGCAATTTGATGAGATAATTTCGAATATAATATTTGGTTTGCTAAAAAATGGTTTTGAAATGAATAAAATTGGATTTTACACCAAAAACCAAGGATTTTTTGAAGATTTAGAAATGTTTATGCATGGAGTTTCTAATATCATAGATGTATTAAGAGCGGAAGAATATATATGCAAAATCTGAATCAGTTTGAGGTGTCGCTGAACCTCGTGCGTTCGTTATACTAAAAGAGTAGTTTTTGTACCTATTTTAGCGTGGAAGATGATTTCTTTCCTTCTAAGTTTCACGATTAGACTTTAAAATCGTTTCATATTCAAGTAGGAAAAGAAGTCGAGATACACTTATGAAATCTTATTCAATGAAAAAACACGTACAATTTCACAAAAATAACTTGTTCATATTTATCGATTTTTAACTGATCTTCTACAATGAATTTTCCCATACCATTGCTACTTATGCGAAAACATACCCGACATGAATTATACTACCTAATTTGAAAAGTTAAATGATGAATACTTTTACTTTTTAACTAAAGATCATCCTGAATTCTCACTCTGAGCATAATAGAAAATGTAATGAGCTCAATGTATGATGTATAGCGTATTATCAATTCCGCCGAATAACTGGTGCACTTTTCCCTACAAGTGACCTTTCAAGCTCTTAAAAAAAGTCCTACAAGTGTATTGTTACTAAACTATCGGGTGACCCATAATAAATGACCCTCTCGCCTTTTCTTATAATTTTTTTTCTTTTCAGTTCTTAGACCTGATGGTTTTTCCAAAACATGTACTGTCAAATTCTCTACAAGACTTGATCAAACTTATTTCTATAGAAAGTTAAGGTGAAAAATTCAACGAAGAATACTCAACATCATTAAAGTACCAACTTTCTACGCCAAAAAACGTTTTCTTCAACTGCTTTTATTCAGTTGGGTGATAAATAGAAGAGAATACGCATTTTGTAGCCCTTGAAAAGCTCTATTTCTATCACCCAGTATTAGGTGCACAAATTCAAAATCAATTTTTGAGGCTCTGCAATGGTAATTTTCTATTTTTCCTAGCCAAAATAGCCCAAAATCGAAAATCTTACAACTCAGTCAGAAAGAGCCGTAGAAACTTGAAATTTTCAGCGCTATAAGTCCGAAATGGCTGCTGGCTGGTCTAAAAATTTCAGATCTCTAGAAACCTGTTGTCATATCGATGATCGATGTTGTTTTAAAAAGGCTTTGTCGATTATTCGTATATGCGTGTAGTGGAGTGTCGTTCGTTCGACCTACTTAATGTTGGAATTTTGAAACGCGAATTGCAGATTCGGAATCTACGCATAAAACCACCCTAGATTCAAACTAATTTAATCTTTGAAAGTACTTTATGGCGGACACCCAACATGTCAGTTTTTTACGTCCATATAAGACTTGTAAAAAATTTTCATCCCCACGACACTGTAAAGTAAGTGCCACCCGTTTTTTCCTAGACTAATTTTTGACGTAGCTTCCAAATTCGTTGTCGGATTTCAATTTGGACGTTCTTTGTAAGAGTTATGGGACTTTGTTGATTATTCGTATATACGCATACACGTTTTTTGCTCATTTGACATATTTAAGAGTAGAATTTTGAAAAACCAATGGCAGATTCGGAATCCACGTATAATACTACCTTATATTTGAATGAAGTTAACTCATAAAACTGTTATGGCAGTACCCAGGTCAAAGAATCTTGCTGTAAGATCTTATAAGACTCTTGTACGACTCCGTCTGATTTCATAAGATTCGTATAAGAATTTGTAAGATTCTGGAAGAAACATAGAAACTGATTCTTGATGTAAGATCTTATAGTAAGATTTCATCAGATTTCGTAAGATTCTTGTATGATTTTTATAAGATTTTATAAGATGAATCCGTTTCTATGATTTTCCGTAAGGTTTTATAAGATCGTGTAAGATCTTGATTTGAGTTTTTGATCTGAGTAGTCATCCCTGACATAGATTCCGTCCTCTTCATTTTCATTTCATTGACATGTTATCACTCATACAAAGCTTGATTTTGTTTTTTGTTTAATTGTTGTTGACAGTAGTGTTCACCATGTTTAGATTATAAATACGTTTTTATTCACTGTCATTTTTTTGTAGAAAGCTTTCTAATTTTAAATAAAGAAAGTGCCCTTCTAATGTGAGAAGCCTCTACATGACGGAAGGAAGACAACGTGTATTCTGATGGCTGCTTCTCTTAGTCTTCAGGGTGGACGGTTAACTATACCACACACAGATCAATTTTTTGAATTATGAACCTTTCAGTCCGAATCATGCGTTTTGGCACGAAAAAACTTCTGTTTTTGCACACTATATTAAACCTCATATAACTCAAGAACCAAACGCACTAGAAATGTGAAATTTTCAGACTAGCCAGCAGCCATTGCGGACTTATAGCGCTGAAAATTTCAAGTTTCTACGGCTTTTTTTGACTGACGAGGGAAGGTCACCAACTGCCACCTCGCTTTTTAGCTCTAAGCTAGTGGGTAATAGGTAAAAAAATGTGCTGAATCCGAATATGACAATGGTTTGGGTCGCTAGGCCTCCAAAGACTGGATTTCTAGAAAACCAATTTTCCAGAAACTCCAAAAGCTCTCCAAAACTTTTCTTAAT